TATTTTTAAAGCTTATTCAGTGAGATGCAGTTAGTTTCCCTCAGTTAAGTTTTTAAGATTAAGTGTAATGAAAAACTACTTACAGGAAAAGAACGTAATTCATCTGTTTGAGTCTTGGTGAGTAATGCGAATAGCGGTTGAGTTGTGTTTGTCCTTTTTAGACGTGAACTTTTATTCTCGTAAACGTCCTACTGCGGCACAATCTTCAACACTTTTTTGTAAGTACGGTTTGCTTCAGTTCCTTTTTCTTTTTATTTCACTTCGGATTTCCACAATACGCGCACTATAGTTGGGTACACTTTTATCGCGATATGCTTATTTTTCTTCTTTTCTTTTAAAATTTAACGAAGAGTTTTGCGATTTCACGATTCAAGTCACGTTGGGCGCCAGTTATTAAACTATCTTGATTCGATTATAAAAAAATAATTTTATTTCACACAATGTCACAACTATTACTTAAAAATTAAATTTTACAATTACTTAAATTCGAATTGATAGTTTAATTATAATATTCTATTCTTATTAACACCAATTTTAGACTAAATCATATCTTAAAATCTAACAGTATTTATAGTAATTAAAATTAAGTTCATTTCCGGCCTCGTGCAAAATTATAGACGTTTCGTCAGCATTTTTGATGGGAACGATAATTTCGTAATTTCTTCATGTTTAAACATGTTCGATTGCAGACGCTGTGTCAGCAATTTTCATGTGAACAGAAATTAGTATCGTACTGAAGATGTAATTTGATACCACTTGAATATGTAACTAAAGACGGTGATAACTTGTATATTTTTGTTTTGTGTTGCACTTGCAGTACAGAAAACAAAAAAGGATATCCGCAAATTCTTTAACGTCAAAATTTTGTTTTCAGTCTGCAAACTGTCTGACGTATAAAACTTAACTACGGACAGAAATGTAGTAAACTTTTTACCCGTAATTGACTTTGAATTTTGATCATCCGTAAACGTCAAAACAAAAAAAAATTTTTTTTTAGATTTAAAATAATTTTATACTTACATATTAAAAATTAACAAAAAAAATATTTTTTATATTATTTTTAACGTAATGATAGTCACTCAATACATCAAATTTATTTACTGAATTACTACGTCAGGCTGTCTGCATGTAAAAAAAAATCTACAATTTTGACGCTTAATTGACTTTTTTTAAACGTTTAAGAATTTAAACTTGGATTGAAAGTAAAAACGCAGTAGAGTATTCGTAAACTCAGACAACTCAGATTTTATAAAATTTGACGTTTAAGAATTTACCATATATTTACTATTGTAATATAATTTTTCACAAATATAAATATTAACATACCGAAAACTTTGTTTTGCTAAATTTAAAATATATCAAAAATACAATAAAAATATCAAAAATACGATATTTGCTTGTATGAATACATTTTTATTGTGTGTTTATCAGAAATGCATAATTAATGTAAAGTGATATGATCGATATTTTCAAAACCTCAGATTAAATGACTAGTAGAATATGGGTGAATAGATGCAAATTACATTTATCTAATCATGTATGTTATTATTAATAAGAACAACAAAGCAGCTAATAATATAAATTTTAAAATAGTGAAAAAGTGCATTAATTTATAAACTGACAAATGTAAATTCATTGAAAATAAATCCAACAAACACGGTAAAATAGTAATTTTTAAGGATAAATAAATAAGAATTAATTGTAAATAATAAATGTATATCAAAACCGAACAAAATAATAACAAAAGTAAATGTAACATAGATTTACAAAAAAAAAATTAATTGTTAAAAAATAAATGTATAACTAGATATTATAAATTCCTATATGAATGAATACATATATCTAAAGGAATTTGTAGCCGAAAGATGTATCTTCGAATTTGATTTCTATTTTATAATGAAATTCGAAAATTTCAACTAATATACGTATATAATTTTAAAATTTTCTAATAAATTATTACTAAGATTTTTCTTAATATTTTACTAGAATGTTACTTGCTTCAAAAAAAAATTAAACAAATTTAGTTTACACAAAGCAAATTCGGTGAATTTGTTTTTTTTTTGCGGTGTCTTGCAAAAATTTTTCTTCATGTTGTTGCTTAAACAAGAAGTGGTTATAGCGTGAGCAATCTATTTCAGAATACTATATTAAGGTATGTGCTATGTTGCCATTGTAAAATATAAATCAAATTGGATTACTTTTGGCTACAATCTTTTAAAAAATTAATAAGTATATTACATATGTACATTGTATAAATAAATTAGAAGAACTTTAAAAAGAAATAATTTAAAATTAAAAATTTTGAATTAAATGTAAATTAAATGACATTAAAAAAAAATACATAAAAATATATTTGTTAACATATTACAATATAAATTATTAAATTAATTAACGCTATTCTTTTATAAATTTAATATTACACACTCACAATATTATTTTAATATTATTTGTTGTATATAATAAAAGGGATGCGTATATGCATTTTAAATTTGTCCACATTAAATTAAATGTTTAATTGTTTTCTTTTTAATTGATGTAAAATTATATTTTTTGAATAGGCCTTTCTGAAATTTTATGCTTTTATGCTAACCAATTGTGTACTTACTTACTAAATTTTAACCTCCATATGATTCCGAATAAATAGGTTTTTTTTTTTGAAACAAAAATTTGTCAAATTTAATGTGGTAACTGCAAGCAGCTCATTAATTTTGCTCAAAAACAAACAGAAGTTTTTATATTTTCCTTTTTATTAAATAGTCGAATCATTTCAAATTTTTTGAAATGGAAATATTAAAATCGATTTATTGTGCAAATTATTTTTTTTTTGCTGAGTTGAACTTATTTCTATTGGCCTTTTTCTTAATTAAATATTTTATTTGTGGTTTTACAAAAAATCGTGTTTTTAAATGTAATAGAACATCGATTGTATAGAGAATATAGATGAAATAGAACAGAAACTCATTTCATATAATGATTTTTTTTACGAAAACCATAGAAATTATAAAACCACAAATGCATAGGAATCGGAAGTTCACTTTATTAAATTTTATTTTTTAATGTTTCCATCTAAAATCGATTTTTGACAAAGACATTATTATTTTGTGAGAATTTTAAAGAATAAATAAAGAAAAAAGAAAGCCAAGGAACCAATAACCCACTTCTGATGATTTAAACTATAATAATAAATAAAATAATTATAAGAGTACATACATTGTAGCAATAAATGTGTTAAAAAAAGACAACAAAATAAAGAATATGAGCACAAACCATATACATACATATATACATATAGTTGAAATAGTAATAAATACAAAAATTTTAAAAATCTTTCATATTTAAAAACTTGTATCAGTATAATGCAGTCTTAATTAATAATAAGAATTTTAACATACAAATGTGAATAATTAAGATACATAGTTAAGTAAAATAATATTAAAAAAAAAACACATACAATAAATAATATTTTATTTAAATTTAAAGTCCAAAAAATTTGAAAAATGAGAAAATATATTGTAAAAAGTGTAAAAGTCGAAATTAAATAATATATTTGTGATTTAAATAATGTAAAATGTTTTAATTACCCTTCACTTTTATTTTAAATTGAATTATTTTATTTTAAAATTAAAAATACACCAGCGGCAAGGGGCCAGGTCAGGTAATGTATAGAGATTTTTAAAAAACTTAGATCTAATTAGATCTAATCAGCAAAAGTGTTTTTAAGATTTAAGTTAGAACTTTAAATTAACATCTCAATTTTCGATCATAATTACATTTGATTTTTTGGTGCATAATTACATTTTCTTCGGAATTGCTTAATTAATTTACTTTATTTCTTGGCGTTAATAAGTAACGTATATACATACATATGTACTACCGATAGAAAATTTTCGGGAAAATTTGTTTTTTATAATATGTAATGGGAATTTATAAAAACCACTCTCACCCGAATCTGGTGCCCTTTTAAACTGAAAGTAAAGAGTGTCGAACTAAAGAATGAAAATAAACTACTAATGAATATTATGATAACCAACATGCGACCTTTTATTTTAATGTATATAATTAATTGTAGTACTTACTTTTCAAAAATTATCAGTATATAAAAAAATTTATAAATAAGAACGCTATAATAATTACCATAAAATTATTAAGATTTAATTCAAGATTTTGACATTATATTGTTTTCCATTTTTTAAAAATTCAATTTAATTTTCTCCATAACGAAAAATTTGATATAAGTCGCTAAAATTTTTGATACCATTCCTCACTTTTAGACATTTAAATCTCGCTAAAAGTAAAGAGTTTACTTTTCTTTGTATAATAATTAGGTATGAACCTGGTTTTGAGGATAAATAAGTTCGTTTTCTGTAGAGTGCAGGGCATTGCAAAACGAAGATACAAAAAAATTGAACAGCATTTGACTCAAACAATGCGATTTTACGTATGCATATATACAAACAATGCGATGCATATATTTAAGTATATATGTACGTTAAAATAGTGGAAGCAACAGATTACATGGAAACTTTGGAAGGTAAAATCAAACATATGTTTAGTTTTTTAGTTCATATGACAAACAATTAGAAAAGTAGAAAAAATATTTTACCACGAATTTGGTTCAGTCTCCATTCTTTAGGGGCATATTTCCATGTATGTATCTGATATATGTAAGTTTAAAACCTGCGAATTCTGTCAAAAAACAAAAATTTGCGTCATTTTTCGGAAAAAAATATTTTGAATTTAAAAATACTTATCAAGATCAAATTAATTGAATTTTTATTGAATAAATCTTAAATTGTAACTTCTTGATTAAAACTTATTAATAATAGTTATACATCAAAAACAAAAAAAAAATAATTAAAAACAAAATATGAAATAAAATCAAATTGAATAATATCAAAAATTTGTACTAACAAATTTATAATAAAAATTTAAGTATTTTATAAAAATAAAATCACAATATTAGTAAATAATAACACAATAGTAATATTTGTAATTTATGCACTAGTTTTTTCTTTTAATATTATTTACATATTTCGATATCTCTACAAAATTTACAAATTAAATTTTTACTCTTATTTAATATTTACAGGACTTTTTATAATAGAATTTTAATTTTTTTAAAAATATGCTAGCTAATAATTTTATTATTTTGTAAATAATTTTTTGTGTTAGCCAATATTCTTTTATAAATAAATCGATATGCCTCTGTTGAATATAATAAATCAATATGATTAAATCCTCTTAATTCGATTACTGAGACTTTTGCATTTTTAAGTTGGGATGCCAAAATCATAACGTCCTGTGAATATATTTAAAGTGTGTTAAATTAAAAATTTTATTATAATTATTAAAAAATTTTTATTAGTTAAAATAAGAAAATTTTATATTTTTAAAAAAATTTTCTCAATTTTTGTACCCTTATTCTTGAATTTCGTTTATAGTTTTGAAATTCGGAAAATTACAAATATAGTATTGTCAATTTTAAATTACAAAAATATTTGTTTATTCATTTAATTGTTAAATGGCTACAAAAAAATACAATAACAATTTGTCTATTGGAAAATTTTGCTGCCCTTGCTAGTTCTAAATCTCTACAAAATGAATTGGAGGTAACGAGTGGAATTCATGATAGGGCTGATTATAAAATTTATTATACGAGTCCAATTCATGATAGGGCTGATTAAAAAAAAGACTACCGAGAGGAAGTTTTAATTTTTCCTTAAAGCGAGATTTTTAATAGTAATATTTCAAATAAGTAATTTGAAATTTTACAAAGTAAGGTTTTGTTAAATAATTTAATAATTTTATTAGTAAACCGGTAAAAAATCAAATATAGGTAACCTAATACATATATAAAATAATCATGATTTTAAAAGGCTAGCTGTACCAGAATGTAACAAAAAGAAACCTGCACTGGAATTGAGAAGAACATATGCTTTTGCTTTGATTACGTTCGCAGTTCATTATAATAAAGAACATTTGTTGTTTCTGCCATGCTGATTTTATAGAACATCTACATATTTAAATTTAAAATATGTATAGAATATTTAAATCATCGTTATTTTATCGTTGTAAAAACGTATATTCATAATATTATTAAAGGAATAGAAATTATAGTTAGGAAATCTCCCTTAGTTATTTGGTCACACCTAGAAATCACACTTGACAGAACATAGATAGTTAAACTACCTAAATATGAAGAGCTGTTTGATGGAAGTTTGATGAAAGTAAATCAGGAAATTTTATTTATTTTATTGTATATAAAATATTTGGATACTGCTTTTTTCTTTTGTGATTTTGAATTTGTAAAAATATCAAAATCAGTATCAAAATTTTTGAGTAAGTTTTTAATATATAAATATATGAAATTAATGTTCTACATATATAGCAAACTTTTTTAAACTAATCTAATACTTATTTCATTCTATAAATTTCTCATCAACAACATGTACATATATGTGTTTACGTCATTGTATTATACCAGTTCATTAGTCGTTATGTTATAGTATATATAGATATGTTATAAAGTATAGACGTATTACCATATACAAATGCATATTGAACAGTGACGTGTCCGAAGACAATAATTTACTGAAGCTTATATTGGTACTTACGAAGTGTGAATAGTTTGAACGTGTTAAGAAGTAGGTTTACCACATTTCATTTCATTTTCAAAATTACAATATAAAATTATAAATATAGTATACGATATAAATACGTTATCATAAGTACAAGATCTACAAGTGATTTGATTCAAAAATAATGATTGTAGAAGAATTGGAGTCCATGATTGGAGAGAAAATGCCCAGAACCGTTAAGTCTGGCGGAAAATTGTGAACGAGGTAAAGGCTCACCCTGAGCTGCAGAAACAAAAGATGATGATGATGATTGTTCAAAAAATATTATTTTATTTTTTATTATTTTTTTAAAGTGTTTGACTTTATGAAATCCTCAGTTTACATCCTGTTGATCTGCAAGTTTTTGTTTGAAGTTTGAAGTTTTTGTTTTTTGTTTTCTTTCCAAAACTTTTTAAATTTTTTTAATGTAATTTTTAAGAAATTTCTTAAATTTCTATCATATTTGTTAATTTGAAGGAATATGAAATTTTTTTTTATAAAGGAAATTTTATTTTACTTAAGCAACATTAAATTCCCGATCTTTTTAGATACATTTACACCATTGCACGGAATATATACACTTTTATAATTTCAATTAACGTACATACGTACACACATATATAAATATATCTATAATATTCCTAATGTGATTTATGGTTTAATAACGATAATGCTTATAAGATTATACGATTTCGCTAATGATGCAAAAATGAAACGTATATGTGTAGATAAAAAAACAAAAATAAGCGAAAAAAAATTTTTTAATGATCAATGAACTCTCAGCTGATCACTATTCGTTATTATTACAAATATATGTGTGTGTATAAATGCTAATATTATTATGACCAAATAACAAATGTATTGAACACTATTGGAGAGAAAACAAAAATATAAGAAAACCTTAAACTTAAACTAGATCTTTTATGAATTGACGACTTGTTTGTCTTATTTTTGTTTTACTTTTTCATAATGTTTAAGGTCTAAGTCAAGGTAAGATTGATTTTGTTTCTTTATTTTTAACTATTGTTTTTGTTTTATTTTCATTTTAAAATGATTTTCGTTTAGTTTTTGCTATGAGATTTTTTATGATTCCGCATTATTTGAAATTTGTTAGATTGTTAAACAGAGGAAAAATGGAGGTAAAAAAAACTCTCGGTAGTTTGTGTTTTGCTAGTGTCATTGTGATATTGGAAAAGGCAATCATTATTATATACGATTTTTTTTTTTGACAATAATATTGTGAAATTATTTTGTAATTATGTGTTTAAATATTTTGCCACATAACACTTTTATAATACACAAATACATAAGTATGTGTACATGGGTACGTATGTGGCGATTTTAAAGTAAAATTCAGATTTGATTTTTAACTATCAATAAATTTGTTGATTTTTTAATTTCTTCCTGAATTATTCTATATTTGTGTATGTAACAGCTAGAGAAACCGGAAGGTTAAGAAAAAAACAAATCAATTTCCTGTATGTTAAATGAATTCTTCGTTTGTTCTTCGTTTGATGGAATTTTTGATAAAATACGAAATTTTTTTTTAAGTTTAGTAACTTAAATTGTGTTAATGAAATATAGTTCATATATTATATTTTAATACGAATAAATAATCTATTTTTAATATACAAATTTACAAATTCACTTGAATATTTTTCTTCTTTCTATTCAATCCAACAAAAACTTTATTGTATTGTACAATAAAATTATTTTTTAGATATAGGAAGTCTAAAAGTAGATATAAGGAATTTTGAATAATAAAAGCATTAATTAATTAATAAATTTTTGATTTATAATAAATAAGATATTCATAAGTTATTTTAAATATTATTTAAAATTTACCTGTTTAACCATAATGTAATCTTTGGTGCCATAGAATAAATATAATGGTATTCTAATATTTTTTAAATTATATTCAGGTGGTGTTTTTTGTTGGTAATGATTGAAATTTTTCTGTTTTGAACCATAATCGTATTGTTGAAATTTTCCTGAAATAAAGAAGAAACACAAAATTTATAAGTATATACTTAATTTTTTTAAGGTGTGATTTCGATTTTTCATATTTATTTGTTTACTATTAATACATATGTAAAATAGTTGTATAAATAAAATCAAGAATATCTTAATTATATAATATTTGTATGGTAAAATTGAATACAAAATGTGGAGACAAATAAAAAAACCAATGTTAAAAAAATAGAGAAATGAGTTGAACTATATTTTCTTTTTGTAATGTGCATTTATTTATACAAAAAATTGAAGGTCGTTGTATGTGTACATTCTTAAAAAAATTTCATTGCATGTGAAATTGTGCCATTTTTATAGGAGAAAAAAAAATTAACGTAAGTGTTAATTTCCATATATGAAATGTGTGAGTTAAGAAAAATTAAACCTACACAGCAAATCAACACAATGAAAATTGTGTTATAAAACATAAAAATTGCTAAAACTTTTAATTAAAACTAATGATTTAGCGAAAACGGGAAAAAAAGTAGAGTTGACCTTGTCAACTCTGTGATATACGTACGAATTTGTTATCCTATGTGCGAATAAAGATGCCATAACTGACTATGGGACAGACTATGACTTTAAGTTGCCGTATTACCATATTAATTTATGCAAAATTTCTGTACTATGTGTTTTTCAAAATACTGTGTGTGCCAGACTACTGGTAAATTCTTAAACGTAAAATTTTACAAAATTTGAGTTGTCTGAGTTTACGAATACTCTACTGCATTTTTACTTTCAGTCCAAGTTTAAATTCTTAAACGTTTAAAAAAAGTCAATTAAGCGTCAAAATTGTAGATTTTTTTTTACATGCAGACAGCCTGACGTAGTAATTCAGTAAATAAATTTGATGTATTGAGTGACTATCATTATGTTAAAAATAATATAAAAAATATTTTTTTTGTTAATTTTTAATATGTAAGTATAAAATTATTTTAAATCTAAAAAAAATTTTTTTTTGTTTTGACGTTTACGGATGATAAAAATTCAAAGTCAATTACGGGTAAAAAGTTTACTACATTTCTGTCCGTAAAAGTTTTATACGTCAGACAGTTTGCAGACTGAAAACAAAATTTTGACGTTAAGAATTTGCGGTACTATTGAAGTTTTATGGCAGCTACCAGAAAGAGCCAAGAAATTTTAACAAATTTTATCAAGCACATCGGCCCTAATAATATATTTGCTTGTGCGAAATTTCAACATTACAGCTTTTATAGTTTCTGAGATATAGCCAAATAACTTTTAAAGTTTTACGACAGTTACCAGAAACAAACAATTTAAATGGCTTTTATTAAACACATTGGCCCTGCTAATATATTCATTTGTGTGAAATTTCAATACCATCTCCTATATTTTCTGAGATATAGCCAAATAAATTTTTAAGTTGTATGGCAGCTATCCGAACCTGTACCCCGATCATGTCTAATTTAAATAGGGTTCTGGCACTTACTATAATAAATCATTTGTAAAAATTTGGTGAACTTAGCTCAATTAGTTTTTGAGTTGTCCTTGGGACGGACGGACGGACGGACAGATAAAGCTAAATCAACTCAGAATTCGACGCTGATCAAAAACTTACACTTGAGTCTATATCTAAGACCGTTATTTCTTAGCGTTACAAACGGTAAGGCAAATTTAGTATGCCCTTCGGACATACGTTCGTGCGGGTATAAAAATAAAGTTTCTGAAATGAGGTTTTCATTGTTCTGTGGCTCAACTTAAAATAATATTTATTTATCTAAACTTTTTTTATCCTGCATAAATTTGCATTAGCATGACTGAAAATTTTTTAAAAATAATTTATTCAAAGTAATATTTGTAAATATTAATTTGTATTTTTTTTAAAATTAAAGTTAAAAATTTTTTTGTTAATAAAAAGTTTGCAGTTTAAGTCTTTTGATTTATATAATTTGATTTTGGTTCGCATAATGAAAATAATGATAACTTAATGTAATTAGGTTAGAATAACACTGCAAGTATTTATTAAATGTGCAATTGAAAATTTTATGAAGTTTCGGGAAAATGCGCCCCATGGGCAGCATGTGGTCCTTAATTCTGTTTGCAAGAACAAATATATTCGATTTTTACAACAAATCTTACAAACAAAATTTTAAAAACTTAATCACAGGTAAATATCTATAGATATAGGTACATTATATTCCATACAAATTCATTATTTCTCAAAATAAAACAATCAATAAAGTCAGAAATTTTAGACAATAAGAGAACAAAAACTAAAATTTTGATAAAATTTTCTCATTTTCAAAAAAAGTAATCAAATGCAAATTTGCAAATATTTACAAGATTTTTATAAATGTCAATAAATATAATATTTTTATTATTTATGAGTTTTATATTTTTTATATGTAAGTAGATAAAGATAATGTAAGAAACTCGAGTAGCCCATACTTATACTCACATTGTACATACTTGACAAGATCTCGTAAAAGTTGTTCGATAACATGTGACACAATTGTTTAGTACAAGCATTTAGTATAGCTTAAAATAAAAGTCTCTAGCAAACAAAATATGGGTTTCGGTTAATGTAATTAAAATCGCGATTACTCCTATTTATAGGTGGAAAGGGAAAGAAGAAGGGAAAATATAAGTAAAAGTATTGCCTTAATATTAAAAATGTGACATATTAAAAACATATACAACTACTACACAGAAAGTTAATAGTATAATAAAATAAAGCGCAACATAAACTAGGAATATAATTAAAGAAAATCAATGCTATTCTAGAGATGGGCCTTAGACACTCTCCTACTTAAGTTTGTACAAAAAATCGACGAATGTAAGTTAACTGAAGTATAATTGAAAAGAATTAGGCTATTTGTTACTACGAATAATCTACTATAAAAATTAAGATTCAAATCATAAGAATGTAACTAAAGAATTTTAAAGTTTTACAAATTTAAAATACAAAACTCATAGTGAGAAAATATTTTGTAAATAATTCAATAGCTTTATAGAAATATGGTAAAATTTTTCTAATATTTTTTTTTTGATTTTTAATTATAAAATGTGTAAAGTATAGGAGAATTGCTGGTAAAATTTTTATTGATGTATATAGGTACAAATTGTTCATTTTTCGGAAGAAGATTTGGAAAGATAAAGAATTAAAAAATATTATTTACAAATCGCAGAAGTAACAATAATTCTAATCTTTAATAATGTTATATAAATCTTGCACCATTTAATTTTGAAGAATTTAGCGGTTTTGAAAAACAATTTAATAATTCCCATTCAAAATTCTCAAATAAACAAAAAAAAAACACAAAATTTGTTATAATTTTTACGACCTGATATATATAATTACATTTTAATTCCAAAAAATATTTGAAGCGTCTGAAGAAAAAAAAATACATAAATTATAAATACATTAAACCTTGAATGACAAAAAATAAATAAAAAACAAAGTTAAATAAATTTATAGATGACCATATAATTTTTTTGGTTCCAAATTTAAAAAAAATTCTGTTTGTTTAATACGAGTGTGCAATAAAAAGTACTAAATGAAATGACCTTTATAACTCCGGTTTTACAAATAAAGTGAGAAAGAAAAACAAGTTAAATGAAATTTTGTACCGAATCAATTTTATTACGAAATCCCATAATCAGTTTTTGTTTTATTTATTTATTTATTATTGGCTAAATGTGATCATACAGAATCTTTAAATCTAAATTTAAAATAAACTATGTGTCTATAGTTTGTCAGATTTTTGGTTAATGAGATCTGATTAAAAAAAAATGTTACTTTATTCAGATTTTAATAATTTTTTTTTACGCGCACTGTTTTATTATACGTTATAGTAGAACGTGACCTGATTTTTAAAATAATAAATTTTTTTTTGTTTAAAATTATTTAATATTTGAATTACATTTACGTATACATGAAGATGATATTGATATTGTATAAAATCAGTTTAAAATTATTCAAATATCTTTAAAGAATCTATATTTGTGAAATCTATAATACTTATTTCTTTAATTTCCTTATTTTGTTACATAAAGCTCTCATTTAATTTGAGGCAAATTAAACAGTCTACTATAAGTACCATATGAGTATTATAATAAAAGTTATAATTACCTTAAATAAAGGTTAAAGTTTGAAATTAAACAGAACTTTTTCAAAATGTAAGGAAAATGGAATTTCAAAAATACATCAGCCATGTTATAAATGTAATTTTGCTAATTAACATTTTAAAAATTAATTTTTGTTAAGTATTTTGAAATTATTTTGTATTTGGAAAATATATATATATTTCCTTATAACTGGAGTAATGACATGTACAGATTACTTTAAAAAATATGTCAAATATGAATAAATTGATTGGACGCAAATTAAAATTGTGCAAAAGAGCTAACATAATATTATATTAATACAAATATTATGAAAGGGCAGTCAGTTTGTTAATGGCATGTGTTACTAGAGAAGATTCAATGAAAAAATAAATTAAATACTTCTAATGTTGCAAAACATAGAATGTAATTCTGTACATAATGTGTAGTTTAAAAGGGAAAATTAAAATAATGGTGCCATATAGTGTTGATCGAAATATTTTAAATTATAAATCAAGTAATAAAATAATAAATTGAAATATTCAACTAGATTAGATATGGCCCTAACAATTGTATCAATTAAAATTCTTAAATTGTAATTTATATTCAAACAAATTGTGTTTATTTTTTGAAACAATTTGTGTTTATACAGGCACACGCGCACAGACAAATTTTTTACTATCCTATATTCATCAATCATTGAGAAAACAATAGAAAAGTATTTTAAAAATTTATTTTTCTATACATTTTATGAATTTAATTAGACATACACAGATAAATACATAAGGAGATAATTAATATGTTTCACGTAAAATGTGGCTATATATTTGAATGCAAAGTGTTCTTACGTATTTCACATAATTAATTGCTATCGTGTAAAAACAATAAATATTAAGCATTAATTTTTATTCTTTTCTTTTCTGCTAAAATAAAATTTTTTCAAGTGTAAACAGAATTTTTATGAAATTTTTAAATTATTTATTTATTTTATTATTAATAATATAAAAAATTCTTACCAGAATAAATTGCTTGGCCAAAATGCAATAATTGTTTTGCTGAGATTCCGGCAGGTGTTGTTTCTAATATTTTCGGTAAAACATTCTGTTAATTTTAAAAATAAAAGTTTTAACAATTAATTAATTTATATAAATTTAATTTTGATTTATATTTCATTTAATTTCTGGTTACGATTGTAATGGGTTAAAAACAAATTATTTAAACATTATGAATTTCAAAGAATAAAAAAAAAATCACTTTTACACAGCTTTAGAACAAAAAATATTTTTATTTAATATATTTTAAATAATTGATTTTTTTTTATTAAAAAATAATTAAATCTTAAATTTATAATTAACTAATTGTCCGAATTTATGTTTGAAAAATAGTTGGGATTATTTATTGTATGACTAAAATATGTAAGATTTATCTTTACCCTATCTAATTCATAATCACTAAAACCAACAACTAAATATGTTGATAAAATACATAAACTTTGTGTTGCTAGACCAGGCGCACAAAATAAATGTCCACCTAATTGATTTAAAGCTGATGTTGGTAAAATTTCATATAAATTTAAACGTCTTGTTAATTGTTCAATATCACTCATTTTAGTTGCAAGTATACGCAATGGTGGACTTAATAAATGTGATAGATAAGCGACTGGTGCTAAAAATGATGCTGTAGCAATTTTATCATTATATTCTGGTTTCTCTGTTAATAATACCATACAAACTGTTGAACCTTGTGAATGTCCAACATAATGTACTTTTGTTTGATTTGTTTTTTCTAAAATAAAATCGATAACAGCTGCTAAATCATAATAGCCAATTTCATGCCAACTAAAATCCCAAAATTTATTGTCATTTGATTCTAAACTACGATGTCTTTTAGAATATGTTGTACCACGTGCACTTGGTAACCATACATCATAATCATTATCATGTAATATGCTACCTAATGAACGTTTTTTACCAAGTAATGCAAAATCAGCAGATGATCCAATAATACCATGCATTAATACAAATGGTATTGAATTCATTTTTTTCGGTGGTATTCTATATAAAGATAAAATATAACCATCTTCTGTATTTACTTGATATATTTCACAAGGATAACCGTTTGTTTGTATTATTTGACAAACTAAATCAAAACCTAAAACTGTATTTGTATTAAAAAATAAAGAAATTATAGTTAATGTTATAAGAATTGAAATGTGCGTTTTTGTTTTTAAATTTTTTCTAATTTTCCAAATTGTTTTCATTTCGTTATGAAAATTTCGTAAATTCTTCAAAAATTTTAAAATATTCTAATCACAAATTTTTTAAAATTTTAAATAAATTGTAATAAAATATAAAAAACAAACTGTTATACACAATAATTTTTCGTTTCCTTATTATTTGCTTATATTTTAATTGAAAATTATTAAAAAAAACCTTTTTATTTATTTATCCGATTTGTTAGTTGAATATTTTATTTATTTTTATTTTATTCTTTATTTTTTTTTTTTTAGTTGAAAACGTGCACAATAGCGTATTTGCGATTATTTAATTTTTATTTTGCTATCTTTTTTTTTTAATTTTTTTTAATATTGCATAACACGACATTTCGCGATCTCGGTCAAACATGAAATGATTGAAATTTTATTCGTGAAGCACAATTTTAATTTTTTTTGTACGATGATAAACATTGGATTGTAACCGATGAATGTAAATATGACATACATACTCGTATAAATAAGATTGTAATAGCAGTATATGTAACAGCAAGTGCAGTGAGTACCAAAGCTTTTTTTCGTTAACCTGTTCAGGTAGGTAAGTGAAGTAAGTATATAGGTACTTCCCAAAACAAAGTGAATGTTATTTGTTTGCTTTTATTCTATTATATTGTAGATTTAATACATAGTTAAATTACTATTGCAAATTTAAAAATTTTTATAGTTTTATAATGCACATGATAGATTGCGCCATATTATAAAGAGAAAGAGAGAGTAGCGAGAAGGCAAACCTACATGTTAATATCACAATGAATGAATAAAAACAGAAAAATGAAATGAATAAAACGAGTTAGCAAACACTGTTAGCAGAAAAGTGTTGTCTGAGAGAAATGAAAACTTTATAAAGAAAAAAAATTAAATAAGGAGAACAGACAAGAAATTGAAAATTGCAATTTTTTTTTCTTGTAATTAAAGTAAAGACTTTGCATTGCAGAGGAAAGAAAGAAAGAAAGACAGAAAGAAAAAATGAAGGAAAGTAAAAAGCTTAAATCAAGGTGATAAAATGAAAAATCAAGGAAAATTGCGTTGCGATATATTATCGCATAGTCTTTATAGTCTGGAATGGTGATTTTAAATGAAACTAGTTTAAGTAATGATCGATTAAATATGATTTTTAAATGTTTATTGCTCAGACATTACAAAAGTAAATTATTTTATAAATTCAAAAGCAAAGGCAATCCACTTTAAATAGTTTGTAAATTCTCTTCTCCCTCAATTTACTATAGCTTACCAATGCACATAAATACACGTACATATATAATATACACGTACGTAAATATTTAGTACAATAATGTGGGTAAATGATAATATAGTATATTAATTATTTTTATACGGAAGCAAAGTTTTCTGTGCCAAGTTTTCATTAATATTACAGTGAGTTTTATGACTTGTTTTAAGTATTTAAACAAACAAACAAAATAGAAGAAAAAAATACCTATGTTATGTTATAAATATTGAACACCTACAAAAATTATTACATATTAAAGAGAAATGGATCACTTAATAAAAGTAAATAGTAATAATTTAAAATTGGAATATAGAAATTCAGGTTTGACTTCGAAAAAAGAAAAACAGTATTGCTTTGAAATGGTTTTCATTATTTTTGATAAAAATATAAGGAAATTAATAGGTTAAATTAAATGGTTAGAAATTGCTAGAGATATTTTTGTATTTGATATTTGTGATATTAAAATGAAAAATTTAATACATTAAATTTTTGCTGAATTATAAATAATTTAAGTAAAATTATTAAGAAATTATATCTTGTAAGCTAGTTTTTTTTTTTTGATAATAACCTTATTACTGGAAATTTTCTAACAAAACGGGGAAATAAAAAAATGTTTATTAGTTTTACTCTATTCATCCGATTGTCCATGTTTCTGTTTAAAAAATTTCTAAATACCTTATGACGTAGAAAGCTAAAATTTTATATATTCAAATAGATTTTTGCAAGAAATTACAAAACAAGAAGAAGTACTTCCCCCTACCTTAGAAGTTATGACCCTTTTTTGGAGTCCTAAAAGCTCCATTTAAGTTATTAATAGTATCGAAACCACAAACATTTTTTAAATCTCGCAAACGCGAAAAAAGTACCAAATTTTTTCTTATATCGCGAAACTGCAAAACAAATTATTTATTTTATTAGATGAAAGTTTTTTCCACTTCCTTTCCTTTCCAAAAGAAATTTTATTTTGGCGAAACTGCAAGTTTTTTGGAATTTCTATAAAGAAAAAAGCTAATGTCATATGTCTTGCAAGTAAAATTTATAATCATTTATTTTAACTTATTTAAGTAACTCTCAAATTCGATCATTATTTTAATGTTTCGTGTTTAATTTTTACTCTTTCCCCAAATGGCTCACAAATCGAAAGACTAAAGCCTCTTTGTTAATACAATTACATCTATGTCATGTATTAAAGATAAAATGATTTTATTTTCTTTTTTTACTCATTTAATATTTTTCTCAAATAGTATCGGACAGGTTTATATTATTGCAAAAAATAGCATCGGTATTAACTTGTTTAAAGGAAAAGTCCTACGTTATAAATCCTTGGTTTAATTTAAAGTAATTTTTTGCTTAAATATCAACTGTTAAAATTTTGTTTCGTTCAAATTTTTTGGATTTAATCAAACAAATTCTGGAAAGTGAATCAGTATACAAGCTGAAATATTGAAAATTATTTGCAAAGGGTTTGCGAAATCTGTAAATTAAATAGCAATTAAATTTCTTTAATCATTTAAAGGGTAACTTTGTATTTCTGACGGGTATGTAAATAAAAAAACCGGTAATTCAAGTGTATTATACTTTTATTTTAATTGTTAAATATTAAATATGTATATTTTACATACTATAAAGCAGTATTTGTGCATATATATAAATATATGTAAATATTTATATTATTATGAATTTATACAATAAATTTATTATTGTGTATAAAAGTTATGTGGTAAAATAAAAATTGTACTTTTTTTTTTAATTTCGTTATTTCTGTTCTCCAGTCCCACTGGAGAGAAAATAGAATAATAACAGTAAAGAAGAAATAATAGTAAACCTATCGACATACGAGAGTGTATACATATGAAAAATTAGTGTCTAGAACCTCTAGAAGTTACTTATCGAAAGGACCTTCTTATTCTGTTCGTCGAGTATTAGTATACACATTTTGTAAAACTGCGTTTAAGTTCTTAAAATATGTAACACAGTGAAATTAAGATATTTCAATAGTAAGTGCATAACATTTTTTAGTATTTTATTTTTATTATTGATAATTGTGATTAATTTCACTTTCATACAAAATAAATTATTTTATTATATTAAAATTATTTTGCGAAAACTTAAGAATTCTAAATTCTTAATAAAATGTAAAATTTGGTAATATTTTTTAATTCATAAAATTATTTACACCCGTTTTTTACTAGAATGTTGTAAAATACATTAAATAAAATAAACTGATTGTAGCGCAACATGTAGTTTTAGCAATTCCTAATTACACCAAAATAAAGAAATTAATCCGAAAAATATGAAATAAAAAAATTTACTTATGTACGGCACAAATGTTCTGGCAGATTATAGAGTAAGCACATTTACGTTTTTTGAATAATATATTTTTAAAGTTATTAGAAAATTGTTCTGCATACGTATGTGGACATCATGTGAAAGAAGAAATATGTTGTTGCTTCTTTAGGTTTGAAGAATCTTATTAAATTTAAATAATGATTTTTTTTAAAAAAGGCCTTTTTTCAAGCAAACCTTTTTTATTCCAAATCAAAAAATCTGTATATGTACATAATATATGCTATGACTTAACAATTAAGTATTAAAAAAATACTAGTTATATTAAAAGCAAGAAAGAAACATGTTCTAAAAATATTAACTCAATATTTACAGGAAATGTGTTTTGTTTTTTATTAAAATGTTATGGCTTTTAAAAGCGATAAAATAAAGGTTATGTCATCATTATCAAACAATAAATTGTTGAATGATACAATATTGAACTACGGGACGCCTTGGAATCTATAGTTTGAAATATTTTAAGTGTTGCTCACGTATACTCGTATAGTGTAGGAATTTTAAAAATAATAATTTTGTTCGTTTTCATTGTTTTTTTTTTGCATATACATTAGAAATAGTAATTTTAGATTTTACTTGGGGATTGCAGTACTAGAATTCTATTACATAAAATGATTTTAAAATTTTGAACTGAAATTCATGGGACAATAATTTTTTGAAAGAGTTTAATTGAAATTGAGTAAAAGCCAGCCAATTTTTTAAATATTGGTAGATAATTTTTTTAATTATTGGTTTAAAAAAATTAGAATCAATTTGACGTAATTGGCTCTTGAATATTGTCAACCTTACACTATTAACAAAGTTTTCATTATTTAGTCGCCTTACCTTATGCAATATGTGTGTATGTACATTTATTGTTTTTAGAAATTACCATTCTTTATCAAGGTCTTTTCTTTGACACTGTTGCACTGTTCATTGCAATGTCTATTCCATATTCATCATTTGATTTGTAGTTATATGGTGAAATCATTTTTTTTATATCGAAATTTTGTTGTTTAGATTTTTTATCATATAGATTCCAAAAACTTGATTTAAAAATGACGCATGTCTATAATATACGTCAAAAATTCTTAAAATTCTCGATTCGCGGAACCGATATTAAAAATATAATTCATTTGAAAAAAAAAAATATTTAAAGACATTTACATATACATATATAAGTGAGACATACACACATAGTATATTAGGTACTTTATTAAAAAATGTTTTCAGTTTTTATGCATATACATACATATGAATATATAGGCACGTACACTGAATATATGTTTGTTGATATATAGAATTATTATCTATTTAAAAATTATATTAATAATATTAATTAATCAATATTTTATTGCCATATTAATTCAAAGCACATTCGCAAAACTCATAGCTTTTGTAATTTGCATTGAAAATTTTGTATAGAAGTTGGTGTTGAATTTTTTAATAATATTTCTACATACATTCATACATATTTTATTGTAGTTTTTTAAATTATTGTAAAGTTGTATATAAAAATACTTCATATTTATAACTTCACAAAAGGTAAGGGTGTAAGGTAAGATATTGAATTTACTTGAAATTTATTATGAAATTTTACCGTGCACATTTCAACTTTTGTTCAACTTATATTTTATTTACATGTTATTTTTTAATATATGTATATGCTTCCGTGTGTCGTCATACAATTAATGTAATACTAGAGGTACCTCTTTGTTATTTATATTTTATGTTATCATTCAGTATTCAAGTTGTTTTTCAAGTTTCAAATTTTTAGATTTCCTTTGGTATTTTTTCATGAATATAAAATGTTACTTTATTGCTACAAAATGGTTTTCTA